ATTCACGCATTGCTCGCCGCAGGGTAAGCATTTATCATATTGACGTTATTCATTGCGCGTCCCAAGGCCGTCGGAATTTAATATGAATTAATTAGAAATTTGTTATCTCTGGAAAGGAGTTTCACTTTCGAACTCAGAGCGTAATCACTGCTGCCTGCGGAAATGTGCATCACCGAGATGGAATTCGCAACGGGTTGGCACTCGAATTCCATTTCTCAATATGTTAGGCTACTACGAGATCTCTGATGTAATGACGTGCTATCGCGTGTCAGGAAGAAAGAAACATTCTCCGAGTTATCCAACCGAATCGCAAAAAAGAATTAGATCAAAGACAGTAATATTGCGTACATTCCTCATTACGTGATACATCTTTGATTGCATCAATCGCGAAGTTTCAAAGAATTCTCGATAGCACATGAAGGTTGAAGAAATTCACATGCAATGTTAATATCTCGAATATGAGAATCATAATCCATATATATATATATATATGTTCATTACAAAATGCGGTCGCTTTTCTCAGTACATCGCATGACCGACGTTGAAGCAATCGTTCGCAATCGAACAAAAAAGATTCTCGTACAGTGACAGTTACTATGATTTTGAAAACGTACTTCCTGCCGAGTTACAGCGCACGCAAATTCGATAATTTTTTGTGTTGTGTATCATAGATCGAAAATCATGGCCATAAATAATAATATAAAATAATATAAAAATTCATATCCAAATATATTTATATATAGCATTTACATTTAAATTTATTATTAAAATTTATTAAAGTCTGTACGATGTATCTTTCACTTATGCTTCAATTAAATTAATGCTTGTACGTAGAAGTTGAGCCAAGTCTCTTATGCTTCCAGTGAATTTAAATTTGACGAAGCGCAAGTGCAATCGTTCCCTTCGGCGGTGTCTGCGTTTCTCCGACGAATACTTTTACTGCGTTTCGATTGCCATCATCGTCTACCTCCGAGAGGCGTCTTCATCCGCTAATTGAATCAATGTTGCGGACGCGAGAGCTACGCGCGACGAGTATCCCCTTATTTCCCACTCTACCCTGCGGCTTCACTCCGCAGCCGTTCTCCGCGTTTGGAAGGCGGATATCGCGGTTGTCGCTTATACCCGCGGACGTTAAGATTAAGGCGGCGATCTCGCGGAGTGCCAGGAGGCCGTCTTTTACGGCGGCGGCTTGCTGTGAAACCGTACGCCGATTCTCGATGGCTTTGCGCCATCATTCTACAACCCCGTGGCGAACCTTAAGCGACCGTCGGATTTACTCCGTAAGAGTCCTGGCGAGCAATCCGCCTCCTCTCGGCAGACTCGGCTCTGCACACTTTGGGACCTGACAGTCGAGGATTAAGCCTCTCGCGAAAGTCGCATTAACAACGACACGTTCTCCCGAGAAGACAAAGTACAATCGGGACAATCGTAGATTTGTACATTGACTTAACGAAAAAGATGATCGAGCAAGAATGTATTCAGGGAAAGATGGATAATTATCGAAGAAACAAAGGTATCTGTACGATGAATACCGAAACAGCTGTTTCATTTGCTTCACGGTAGATGCGGCCCTGTCTCTATGGATTGAACGCTTAAAAACCTACGGACACCTAATGGTATCCTTATGCGCTTACAACAATATGGTTAATTGAACAGAATATTCCCGGTGCTTGGCTTCGCAGCAGGTCCATTATTCGAATTACGACATGGCCGTCTCTCGGCATAATCGTGCCGAGTTCCGCATATTTTTCTAGGCCTTATGTTGGCCGTGATAACGTTATAATTTAGCACACTCGAAAGATGCCACTTTGCTGTTCGTGTCGAAAAAATTAATGATTTAACTCGAGGTTTAATATCGTAAATTCAGTATTGTATTTTTAGCACAGTTAAAGTGGGATTGTAAATTTGTAAAGATACCTTGTTTCTGAATACTCATCTAAGTTTTTAATTTCTAATTTACACACGTAAATAAGCATTTGATTGAGATTCTAATGTTTAGCATATTATTATCATAAAATCATCATTATAAAACATTATCAACAAAACTGTATCTTTTAGTAATAAATAAGCCTATCAAATTTAAAAAAAGTTTCAAGACAAACAGGTAAAATAATGTTTTTGCTTACGATAAGAAATTTGGCTCGAGATTCGATTAGAAAAATCGTGGGAAAATTATAGTGGATCTTTCGGTATGTATCATAAAAATGCGTCGACGAAATTATGTCAGGATCGCAGCTGCGAAAACAAACAAATCAGTTTGCGCGCGAATTTATTTATTTTTATACGTTTTCCACGCCGAGATACATTTCCCCTGAACCGAGCTCATGTCTATCATTTAATTCTTTTTTTTTCTATTTTCGCAATCGCGGCCAAAGAAGTGCCTGATCCCTTCAACGAATGCGACACAATGAAATTGGATTAAAGTCGTGCCCTTGCTAGTTCTCGTCGGCTCGTTCTCTCTCCCCGCAGCGACACGACTCAGCCGTAAGCGAGAGAGAAATTTTAACGATCTACCGCCGTACAAATTGTCGAGATGCTATCATCTCTCAGCGGGGGGAGAGAGAACGGGGGTAGGAGAAGCAGATAGGATGATACGCGAGAGAAATGAAGAGAGAGGCACAGAGCAGGAGGGAGGGCAGCGCGAAGGGGGCGAGAGCAGAAGATGCGAGGGAAGATTAGGGCGGCATCTCCCTACGGCGAGGTCGGTAACAGAAACTGCTGTTGGTGATGCTCTTGATGCCATGCCGCAGTCGGAGTTGCCGCCGCGTTTCGCCGTACCACCACGTTCTCCTCGGCTGCCCTCGTATCTGACGCGATTCGTACGTTGAGGATTCTCAACAGTAAATTACAAAATATGCTAAGCGGCCGATATAAATCAAAAGTGGGGCCCGCGCGCGTCCGTGGATCCCCGAGGGGTGAGAGTCCTTTACCCGTCGCCTCCGTCTCCCGGATTCTACGGCGCAGGGGTAAGGGTCCTCCGCGTCCTCCGTGAGCCAACTCCGGGCCCAAAATACAAGAAGGAGACCCCCATCACGAATCGAGAACGAGGGAGAATCTTTTTCTCTTTCTCTCTTTCGCCCTTTCTTTTATCCTCGCGTAGAACGCCGGCGCAAGTTGCAGTTTGCAAACCGAGCAAATGGACCGGAAGACTCGAACGCGAGATATAAATAGGCTCGACTGGAGAGCAATATATCTACCCAACTAAACTTCACTAAATTGCTTCGGAGTAATGTAGAAGAGAGCGATGTAGAATCGGGAACGTTCGCGGTTCCGTGCGAGCAGAGAGAAAGAGAGAGAAAGAAAGGCCCCATTTATCGACGGCACGCTGCGTACTCATTTAAGAGCGAGAGATTTATGGAATATCGATAAACTCCTGAAGAGAAAATTGTGATTGCTGTTCCCTCGAACCATAAGTATAATCTACGTAAATTGATTATGCGTGGAAAGTTCGTGTCATTTCATGCCTCTTTCTCGCCGCGTCGATAATTTTATAATTTGCTTTAACATTCCGTGTTAAAAAAATATCTAACATAGATCTCTATGTACAATTAACGAGAATTTTCATTCATCGCTCCGTTTAAAAAGAGAACAATTTAAACGTTCGTCAGAAACTGATGATGATACACATCACTTGTCTGTATTTATCTCACAATTAAGATAACAGCGATGCAGCTGTGCTAAATAGAATGCGGATCGTCTAATTAACGCGTCAAACGTCTTCCTGTGCCGATCGATTTTACACGCGATTGTTTCGCGTAATCGATCTCTGTAACGAATTATGCTCACCGCGAGCGCTCAATTACGCGGTCGAGAGTATTAATCGAGATACGGCGAAACACGAATAGCTAATAACGCACTGAGAGTGTTCGCTGTAACATCGGGACACGGGACTATCTGCGGATCTACGCTAATCGAGTCCTCCCGATGCACCCGGTACATAATCGTCACGCACACGCACGTGTTTATGGATGAGCCACGTACTAGTCGCGACCACGTGCACGAAGCGCGCTTCTAAATTAAGTGCATCGGGCGAAGAAGAGCCGCGCAAGTGCATAAAATTACGTGCGTTACATGCAAGAGCGGCGCGAAAGGTGCTTTCGCAGGATTGCTTTCTCAAGGCTATAGATTTTCAGAAACATAAAAATAATAATCCCCTCAATATCTCTTTCATACGCATTATTCTAATGGAGAAGAAACAGACAGAGAGAGGGAAGGGAAAAGAGAAGAAATAAAAGTATAATTTAAAAGAAAATTGATAAATTTTTCTCTATCACAAAATTTTTTTAAGATTTTGGTCTTAGAAAAGTAGCAAAAATTTGCTCTGTTTCATTGCAAAGCTTCCAATTCTATTTAATTTTAAGTTACCATGGGTGATTATCGTCGCTAATTAACACTGCTTTTAGATTTCTGTGTAATCGATAAGCAAAAACAATTGTTAATTTTAAAGTTATTTTGAAGAAATTTTATTTCGCGAAAAGTCCAATCTTAAGTCTCAAGAACGTGAATATTTCTGAATTATTTAAATGCGCAAGAGGCGTGCAGAATCTTCCTGCGTTCGCATGAGCGTGATTATATTCTATGGATCGAGCCGTGGAAAATCGCGATTCTTTCCCTCGCCTCGCGTATGATTACGAAGCTTATACGCGCGGATGAGAATCTGAAATACTGAGATAGCAAAGTGCCCGCGAAACTTCAAAGCAACGAGAAAATGTTGCATAAAGCGTGCCTAATAGCAGCCGTTGTCTTGCGCTCATTTTTGTCGGAGATCAAATCGCATTTTGAGATATTTTACTTCAGTATTACAACATTCTGATATTACGAAAAATGAAACTGGCAAGGTATTTTTATCACAAGAAATTAAGATACGGAAATCTTGAAGTATATACGTAACAAAGACAATTCTATTGGTTAAAAATTGTCTTTCGAACTTTTATAAATATGGCTTAATTCATATTTCCGATCATATCAAATTTGATTAGTATTATAAAATAAGTACTCACGTGGACCAGAGTTCGTGCGTAGGCGGCAGCTTGACGTCCGCGGCTTTTTCAGGCAATTTGTAATATTCGTAGACATAAGACGCAGCGGGATCATCGCTGTGATTGGGTACCGCCGACTGATGCTGCTGCTGAAGGTTTAGCATGGCCGCGGTCGCTACGGAGAGCGGATGCTCGCAGTAGGCGCGCCAGTCACCCTCCATACCCTGGACCTGCACCTGCACCGCGGCGACCCTCTTGTGGACTTCCGGATCAGCGCCCTCGGCGCCGCTCTGCAGCGTCTGCGCCGCTGCCTGGGCCGCCGCCTCCTCCGCTCCCAATTCCTCCTCCTCTTCCGGTTCACGCTGCCCGGAAACGTAGCTCTGTTGCTGCTGCTGCTGCTGCTGCTGTTGCTGCGCGTCGTCGCTGACAACGGTACCGTTGGTGTCCTCCTCACTGCGACTGCGTCGCCTGTAATCAAGCGAAGCGATTCGCTTAATTATTGAACTCGGCCTCAGTCCTGCAGAACATAATTCCATGAATATCTAATTGCCGTGTCTAAGAAATACGTTATGATTCGCAGATACGATATTATCACGTTCAAATATGAAATATAAAATATAATTAGTGCGATGATGCAATAATCTCTTCGGTGACGTATAAGAATCGCCATTTCCAGTATCATCCGACGGTAGTGAGTTCTACGCATCTACCAGGAAAAGGAAATATAATATCATCTACGATCGACAATGCTCATGCGAGCAACCGATTCCCGCTATCGGCGATGACCATAAGCGACACGGCAGCATGTCGTTTAAAAAAAAGGTTCCCCGAAGGTTGTGGTAATGAATGTGCCGCGGGATAACAGTTAGAAATAACCGGGCCCGGTAGAATGTAATAAATTACAACGGACCCATCGAATTTATCAATTAGCGATAATCGCGGCGCATAAGCCGCGTTGATGATTCCTCAATTTAGCAATGACCACCAACGGTGGAAGCGCAACGCGCATCGGCGGATGGTTGCGCCGGTAATTTATTGCCGTCGCGTACATCGCGATACCTAATCGCGCTATGCGAGCGCGAGAGAGAGTACGTATGCGCTTTCGACTCCGTGCCTAGCCATCTGAATATTTGTCACCGCTTGTTATTTTCCGCCGATGTAATATCTTCCGGCTGTACGGCGGAGACGATCGACGACGACGACGACGACGACGACGAGAATCACAGAAGTGCGCGCGAAACTTAAGTGAGCGTTTCGATGAAAAAAAACTCAGGCGTCATATTGCAAATCAGATTTGGCTGATTTCACTTGACTTTTCTTAGCGATTGATGAGTGGTTAATTCGAAGATAAGGATATTCATAAATTCTACCTCGCTTCATGCTCTAACGTGTGTATACATTTTTTTAAAGTCGAGCTATAGAATTTTATTCATTGTACGGTTTTTATGTTAAAAATCTGCATTTTGACGTTTGCCTTTTTTTTTGCAGTACGCGCATCACCTGTCTCCGCGCGAAAGGGATAAACTTATCGCGGATCGAGAAAGAAATCTCGCGCATTGCCACCGGGTCGGAGCAGATGACGAGGAAACGAACGACGGGACGGAGAGGGGAGGAGGGGGAGAGGACGGGTTACATCGTAAATACGTATACCATGCACGAAGATTAATTATTATAAACCCCTGCCTGTTGCCTGCAGTCATCAATTTATACTCTTCTCTCCGTGCATCCCAATTCCAATCCCGATCCCGATCCTGTGAGTCGCGCTACGGAATAAAGGCTCATCCTCTCTAATTTATGCATGTCGAATCAATCTCCCTCCTTCTACCCTTCCTTCCTCCATCTCTCTCTTTCTCTCTCTTTCTCTCTCTCTCTCTCTCCTCCCCCCTCCCTCCTCTCCTCTCTTTCTTCTTTCTATATCACTCCTCGTCCGTTACCTATTGTTACGTTCGTCCTTACTACGTGTATCGTCCTCCTTCCGTCGCCGACCACCGTAGGACACCGTCTCCAGAAGAGAAACCCGCCCACCCGATAAGTGGACGGACCGTAGTTACTCCGTGTACGAACTAAATTTTCTTTTTCCGCGGACGGTTCTTGTTCGACAACGAACGACCGAACCGGGAAACGGGAACGGACGTACGTCCGTATACTAGTTTAGAACGTCGACCTACGTTACCCGGTACCCCGTTAACGTTTTACCGGTACGTACTAACTAACCACACACACACACACACACACACACACACACACACACACATATATATATATATATATATATATATGAAAGTTTTTGCGCTGAGAAATCTCGAGCGCGTGAATGTGGTAGTCGATTCCGTAGCCGCGATTCTGCATCTAGCATACCTGCCCGTCTAGACAATGAATTTATGCGCGATCATCCGGGCGAAAACTTCATTCCCGGCGAAACGCAAACATTCAGATTTCACGGTGATGAAATACCGTGCGCCGCGAGCGCGATGCTATTCTTCTTGCCGGTGCAATCTTCATCTCGCTCGCTATCATCCCGCGCACGTTTCGCGCTTGAATTTTCTCCCCCTCATGCATTAATAGTATTCGTCGATCACGGCGCGGCGTGAACTATTCTCTTCGAGAACATTTCTCATCGCCGTCGCGGCCAAATTTTATGATTCGACGTTAGCAATAAATTCTTACATTTACGAGCTTATACGCGGAGAATTAATTATAATCACATACCTTCGAGTCACAGACATTCCAATAAATTGTGATCCCCTGCGGGGATTGGAACCGTTATAATTTCGCCGAGTCTAATTTTTAACGTTGCGAAACGTTGTGAAAAAAAATCTCGTGCCAATTATCGCAAATGGAGAGATCATTAGTCTCGTTAAACTCAAACTGTCGCCAAAGCCACAGCGACGGCGATAATTTTATATCTCGCAGCAATGTCCGCGTGCACTTATCCGCGCTTATTTATTTCAGAAATTCGATATAAATCTTGTTGCTTTCTTTCTATCATATCCATCGTATCTCGAGAGATGATTTTTTTTTTTCCAGAGACTGCCTGATAAATGGAGCCTTAATAATAATAACTTATGATACACGACATAATTGATAACCGACGTGTACACGCAATGTCGCAAATAATCGGACAAAATACTCGACGTAATATCGCTCCCTTATTAAGTATTACTTATTAAAGTATTTTAAGCGAATCCGACATGATAATGCCTGTAGACCCTATAATTTCATCTTACGGGAGTCCCGGGGATGCGCAAGAAGACACTTCCGCCAATGTGTCCCGCGTACTCCTCGTCGCTTTCTCGAGAAAAAGCGAAGACGCGCGGACGACGTTAAAAGCCGTCCTGAATCGGGAGGAGCTCGCGCATCGACGGCCGAATTTCTGAATAATGCGAGCACGTATCGTGTCGCATTGCATGTTCCTCGTACGTGACCGGTGTACCTCTGAGACAGGTAACATGAGAAAAAGGGAACGGAGGATCATAAAGCGGAAAAGAGGGAGACGGAGAAAAGGAGAGGAAAGAGCGAGGGACAGACATCGGAACGTACATCGTTCCTCTCGACGGGTGATACGTTTTAAGGATTGCTACGCGTATACGCTAGGCTGGTGGATACATATGTAAATTGCGAGTACCCCTATTACGGAGACTTCACCTGCGCATCCGGTTTTCGCGTGTGCTTTGATTTCGTCCCCGTACGTCACGTCCTCCTTTTAGCTCGCATCGCGCGCGCGCGCGTTCGTGCAACGCATACCACTTTTCTATAACGCTAAATCATAGTCGATTTCATTAAAACCATCGGGATGAGTAATTGCCGGTATATCGGGTACGGTAGGCGCGGTGGAGAACACGTCCGTGTTTAGACAGCGATATATCTTGGAAATTAAGGTCTGTGTCCCGATGGATATCGCAATTTTAAATATTGCGTAATTTCGACGATGTCGATGATTTCGAGAATAATCTTGGGCATCGTTTTATCTTCACCGATGTAATGAACTCGTTTAATTATCAATGTCGCAGCTGTCGAGAAAGACTATAATTTGTTACAGCCTGTCGAATATCGACTGTTTGAAATATTTGAAAATAAAGCAAGCTCGATTTGAAATTAATCGAGAAATAAAGGAAAAAAAAAGCTAATTTCCGATTCCATTGGATTTGCTAAAACATGTGTGATAGCTCTAAGACATCTCGCATATTCAAAGATTGACGTAATTTATATTCCGCGAATAAACGGGCAATAAGAAGGAAACGATGTAAAGAATTTCTTTTACAACGGTTTACATTACGATAGATAAAATTTTATTGCGGCAACGAGCCGTAACAAAAACAAGAATTATCTTCGAGGAAATCATATCGGTTTCATCTTGTCATTTGATATAATAGAAAGGATTAACAGTCGATGTCTTTCGACTATAAGCTTGAAAATATATGTCCATTCATGTGCCTTGCTACTGGACTATCTATCATGATTTTTGACATTCCGAGATCACTAATACATGACTAATATATTTAAAAACTTTAAGCAATAAAACAGAATATTATGTAGATGACATTATTAAAAATTAATATCAAATATCTTTACTAGAATTTTAAATTAGAAATTGATATTTTTTTCAGTTATATCAAATCCGATCGGAATAATTTTTAAATTATTCCGATGTTATTTAATAAAAACATCTCTTCGAAATTTTTTTAATAACACACATCACAGTACTACTAAAGTTTAAATAAAAAAATTTGTTTGTTACATAAATTTTACAATTCTGAAATAACAAATCTCTCTTATTTCCAGATATAAATACATTATAATCATACAATTTTGTCGCTGTTTAAATGGCAAAAACAAGCTGTCAACTGCCAAGCTGCAAACAACATTAACATACCTTTACCTAAACATATATTATGCCGAGCGCTCTGATCTATCGCTTACATACGTATCACCAACACGTGCACTTATATTTTCTAAAAATAAAGGAAAGAATTAATCTGTTATTTGCTACATGCCTTTCCAATTGAATAGCCGCGTCTCGACCGATCGACCCGTTATTAGGATCATCCGTCTTGAATGGTGGCGACCATGTTCACTCGGACGCGGTTCGCTCATAAACATACAAACGTACGTACCGATTCTCCTTACGCGTGTCTCTCGGACGTGTGTCCGGTCGATCGTCGGACGGCATGCGTTACAGTGCGTGCGCCGAGACGACAGTCGACATGACTCGCACGCAATCGTCATGCACCTACCTCAATACGCGAATGGTTGCAGGTAGGTAAACCGCTGCACCGGCCTGGCCGAGATAAAGGCGACCCGATGGAGAAAGAGCGAAGGAGAGTGAGGGTAATGCACTTAATATTCCTTAGGAGTGCTGTCCACGCGACCCGAGAATCCACCCCGTGTGTTCTCCCGTATGCATTTTAATAAAGCCGCCTCCGCTCGACCGCACGTCCGACCGAATGACACAAAGTCCGATAGTGTTG